CCCTACAGTATTTTTACAGTCTTTATTTCACAGTTAAAATATATTTTTATTAAATAAAGTCTAATCTTACTTACAACTAATCGTGGATCCCTTTAAAAAACATAGTACCATGTTTTGGTCAAGAGGATTACACAGTACCTAAGCTTAACCTGTTTCATTAAAATTTTCAGGATCTGATTTAAGGCTCCTTTAACAGTGGATGACATCCCCACTTTGACATAGAGGACCGTTCAGACTGGTTTGGATTTGCAAGGTCTTGGCGAGTTCTTAAGGTGTATATTAAGAACACAATGGGCTCCCGTTTCACATGATTATTGTCAAGACATTTCAGCATGCAAAAAAGACAAAGAAAGATTGTTTTTGAAATGTGGGTTGTCAGCGATGTAGCCTWCTCATATCTGTGTAGCTTGATCATAGAAAGAATGAAACAGTTCCAGGCTATGATTGACTGTGACAAAGTCAWGGTAACAACCTAGTATAGATTTGAAACCCATATGGTATCTATGGCATCTACAGTATAGTAACATCATGCTAGCATGGTGGAAGTACCACTTAGCTGCAACCTGACATCAATTGTGAGAGTCATGCAAGAGCTGAGCCTGAGCTGTGGTGTGATTGTAGACATATAGTATGTGGTAATATCAGGGAACATGCTGCTGGTGTACAGAGTAATGAGGGTGGAGGAGAGTGTCTCTGGAATTAGAAAAAYAGCTTGAAAAGACCCAGTTTTTGAGCACTAAGTGCATAGCTTTGTGATGATTGCCTTTACACTAAAGCACTGTAGGTCATGAAGAATACATTGGGGTGATCATTCAGCGTGGAGGAAGCAAAGGTTGGCACGTTATTCTAGAAATTACTTCTTTTTTTGTAGAGATGTTTGCAGATGTTTTTGACTGTTAGATCCTTTTGTGATCTATGATGAAAATCCTCTGACCAGTTGAATCTCAGYCTTAAGGATTCAAAGTGTTTGTTGTCATGTACACAACTGGAAACATGGTTCCTTGAGCAATGAAATTCTTRCATTGTTGCCCACTGTGACTGCAAATCAGTGAAAACCAAGAGTACCAATAGATGGAATGTGCAAAATGTAAAGTCAAATAAGTCTAAAAGATGCAAAGTGTGCAAGAGGTCTAGTCGAGTGACGGAAATATTCAATTATTTAAGATGGTGATGTCACTTGGGAAGAGGAAGTTCCTAAATCTGGAGGTCCTGCATTTCACCCTTCTGTACCTCCAGCCTGAGTGTCATTCTGTTATCAGTTAGAACAATTTCCTAGGTTCATTATTCATTTCCTGTTTCTGATGTCCTGCTTAGCTTGTCTGTTTTGTGGAACCTGATGCAGATTCAAACAAAACCACAGCAGACCACAGGAGCATGTTTTATGTTATGGAGAGCTGCACTAATGGCCCATCTGAGACTTGTCGTTGCACATCTGATAGACTGTTTTAAATGGTAGCAGGCATATCAAAGCCAGTAACTGATACATCTGGACCTGGTGAAATCTAGAGTTCCTTGTTAAAACTAATAGTCATTAAGTACAATCATAATACCAATCCTAATTCTGTTTACACCATCTTCTTAAGGCTTACAGGTGGTGCTCAAATCTATCATGAAGGCCATGATCCCTCTGCTGCAGATTGGCCTGCTTCTTTTCTTTGCCATCCTCATGTTTGCCATCATCGGCCTGGAGTTCTACATTGGAAAATTCCACCAAACCTGCTTTGACAATAACACAGGTAAGAGCGTGCGTGCACATGTGCAAACTATTTTCCCCAGAGAAGACTGCATCTGCTCCTGCTGATTCCGAAAGTCACAGTGATAAAAATAGAAAGTCTATGTAGTTCAGGGGAAAAAGAAACATAACTAGAGTGAAATGTGCGTGTTATTTGGACTGTAAGCAGCTGTATCCCTCAGGTTGTTGGTTTGATTGGCGGTTTGTCAATATTGTTAAAGGATTTACATGCAAGATGTTTTACCTCATATTCAAAAATGGGTTTGAATGGATGAAGATGACCAATTGTAATCACTACTTACTCCTTTCTTCCTAATACTACAAAACAATTACATACATTATTTTCTATTGACTGTGCTTAAATGACAGATACAAAATTCTTGCAAACATTTTGTTACATAACGGCTTTATTTGTAGATTTATTTGTAGTTAAATCCTTTAAGTGTTACCTTTACCCCTTGGCTCATATCTTTGACATTGCAAGCGGCTAAAAATACTGGTGGAAAAAAGGGATACACCTTCAAGAACCTTTATAGATATTCCTTAAATACAACACCAATATGTCCAAGTACTTAGTTATTATTCATCAGACTTTGGTACACTCTAAAAATACTGTATTTTGCTTGCTCAACTTTGGTAAAATTACATTGACAAATTACAGTATATTAGCTGAGTTAGTCTAACTTACTGTTTTACATACTGTATCTCCCACTCACAAATGCCTATGCTATGTCTTTTTAAAGTTCCTACATTTTATGTTGTACAAACTTAATACTTTTGGTTGTTGAGTGATGACAAAAGTATTTGTTCAAAGCACTCAAACATTTCATTTAGGAGGTGACATTTTAGGGGTGCTCTAACTTTTAAATATAATAAGCCAACTCACTGAAATGTGCACATAAACAACTTTTTTTATTATTCTGAACAATGCTTTTATGTTAAGTTCTACCAAAAAACACTATAAATTTCATTTTGTTACACATATGTGAGGTTCCTTGCTGAGGCAGCTCACACCCTTCTGTCTGAAGTGTAAACAAAAGTTTTCATTAAAMATGCTGGGATAGAGCCACACCTTTGTCATCTCCCAACACAAAACAATTATAATCAGACAACCTTGTCTAAAGGGACATGGGGGAAGTAGAGAAATGGAATTAGGCTTTTGCCTCAGTAGTTTTGTGTTGGGTGAACATTTCCCCTTGAAGAAGCTAAGAAAATTAGAAGTTTGCAAATAGCATTAATGTTTGCAAAATTAACATTTCCTTTTGTCCTGATTTCCCATTTCCACCTACGTCCAGGAGAGATTAGAGAAGAATTTCCATGTGGTCACGAACCTCCATCACGGCTGTGTCCAGAGGGCACCATTTGTAGAAGTTACTGGTTGGGACCAAACTACGGCATCACTCAGTTTGACAACATCCTGTTTGCTATTCTCACCGTTTTCCAATGTATCACCATGGAGGGTTGGACAGATCTGCTCTACTATGTGTGTACTACTCAGCAGCACTTATTTATTTTTATTTAATATGTTTAGAAATTTATTCATTTCATTTATTTTCTGGCCACTGCTGTCATATTTTGATGCATGTTTATGTTTGGGTAAAATTTCTAAATTACCCTTCAAGAYTGAACTTCTAGTAGATAAAATTATTTTGTAAAACAACATGTGTACGGTAAAATGTAGTTCAAGCAGACCATTATGGTCAAATTATACGTTATTGTACCTTTTCACATTCAAGTCCAAGGTCAAACTCTAAGCAAAACTAAACTTATTTATTTATTTATTTATTTATTTATTTATTTATTTATTTATTTATCTATCTATCTATCTATCTATCTATCTATCTATCTATCTATCTATCTATCTATCTATCTATCATATATCTATCATCTATCTATATATCATATATC